TGTGTGCGTGTGCGTGTGGGCGTGTGTGTGCGTGTGTGTGTGTGTGTGTGTGTGTGTGTGTGTGCGTGTGCGTGTGGGCGTGTGTGTGCGTGTGTGTGTGTGTGTGTGTGTGTGTGTGTGTGTGTGTGTGTGTGTGTGTGTGTGTGTGTGTGTGTGTGTGCCTCAGAGTGTGATTTAAGGCCGTCTTGTGTTTGAAGTTGTGTGAGTTATTCGGCCTTGGCGCTTCCTTTCAGTTTTCGCTGTGTAGCTGCAAGTTTCTCTCCAGTGAACAAAACAGGCCTCCATTGTTCCCAGTCTAAGTTTCTCTGCACAGTATGTCTTGCGCTCATCTGTCATTTCTTTACAGATTTTCATAAGAATGTACTTTTTTATTTTGTCTGAAAAATGAATCGGTCTCTGCATTTTCCCTTTCAGATTTATATTCTGTTCTATCAAATGACAGACGAAGATGATAATATATTTATAAGATCTTTATTTACATGAGTTTTCAGAATTGACTTTTCTTTACCAAAGACATACTGATAAATACAAAATAAAAAGATTTACGTTCAAGACAAGTTAATTATACTTTACAAGGCCTTGAAGAATTAAAGTCTCATAAGACAGAATGCAGTTCAATCAAATTTACAATAATACACACATATATTAAATGATTAATATCCAAGAACATGCTGTCCACTTCAGACCAATTAATATTATTGATAAAATACAAATTGGTAAAAGGTTACTTCCCTAAAGCTTTTCTCTTCAGGCGCCACCTGTGCAGCCCTTATCTGAGAAATAGGCTGCAGATGCCTTGAGATGTAATGTTTTATCAGATGGGCAGAGTCACCAGAAGTACTGGACCTTACTTCAGGAAAGGAAAAAGGGAGCATACAAAGTTAATGACAACATCGCTGCCAACAGACAGATCGAGCCAGGCGTCTTTAATGCTGCAGAGACAGACTGCTCCAAAACTCTGGGCTGTGGAGTTAATTAGAAATGGTGATAAAACGCTCTCTCACAGGTTGTTCAATCCAGAATTGTGTCGTAAAAACACAAAAATGTAGCAATCAGTTTAGATCGTTTTTTACTCATATTTCCACTCAGATCTTATGGTAGGTTTAAATGAAAATGGTGGCCAAAGCGTTCCCAAGACACAGAGTCACTTTCATTCATCTGCTGTTGGAAGGAGCGCACATCCTGTGTCTATTCCACTGAAAAACATGCTACATGTTTTGTGTTTTATCCAGTTCGTCCCTGAATGCTGCTGATGATCATCTCTCATCATTTTCCCAGCAGGAGATCCAGCCTGCTGTCTGCTCTGCTGCTGCCATTTTTATTCTTCTTACTAATAAAAACACCACACTCTGAGCATGCAAAGCTGTAACATTTCATAAGAAGCAACACTAATATTCTTCCTGAGTTACCTGAATTATATCCTCCACTATTTCAGCTGAAGTTAGAAAAACAGAATGTTTGATGTGTTGATTTCCATATGCAGTTAAAACTCCTGATTTTCCCCCATTTTCAGATGGATTCTCTGCAAAACTTCATTGCTCTTTATTTATTTTCCACAGCCAGGCTTTAAAGGGAAATTAAAATCTGTAAGTGCTAAACAAACCACAGAGCTACTGTTAGCTGGCAGCTTTTTAAACAAACCAAGTCCAGCCAGGAGAATGACAGGAAATCATTCTATAATTTTAGCTACGTTGACAACAGTCCGTCTGTCCCGTCCAGGCTGACCACAAGCAACTATTATTGTCTCCTTCACTTTATAATAAAAACTCAACAGCCTCACTGTGAAGTTCTGCTGCTTTCAGGCGGTGTTGAAGCAGAGCAGACTTTTATTTCGCTTGAAGATTAATATCTTATTAGTGTCAGATATTGTCCTAATCCAGAAACAGATAAACTTTACAATCCAAATGGTAATTTTTGCTCATTTCAACTTGTTTAACACCTCAGAAACTGCTTGACCTCAGAAGAAAGACAAAATTCTCAAGTTTTATAAATGTAAACATTTTAAATGTACAATTTTTGTATTTTTCTATTCCAGACATAAATAACTTATTTTTATTTCTATTTGTAGGTTTTGGATCACAGAAAACATGAAACTACCACAGAGCAAATGAATCTTTTTGAATCTGTTTTCCAGTCAAGTATCCAGTAAAGCTCTGACTGGCTGATCTGAATTATTCCTCAGGAATCATAAATAACAACAGAATGTTTTCATATTTTCTGCAATGATTTATCAAACATAGCCTGAAGTTAAACAGCTGCTTTTCTGCAACACAAACTGGAAAATCCTCCAGGTTACAGGATAAATGAATCAGTACAAAACTAAATAATTACAACATGTTTTATCTCCAATAAAGATTATAACTCACTAATGTTTTTATTTTTATTTTTTTTGCACTACTGGAGATGAATTGTGGATATTATATTTGCATAATTAAATTTCTTTCCTGTCAATTAAAAAAATATCCACACTGGTACCTGATGCATGGATTACCTTTTACTTAAAACCTTTTACGGCTTATAGGTTAAACTTTCATTTCAAGACTTTTGGAGTTATTAAAAGCAGAAGAGAGTGGAAAATAAGTTTGAGCTTGTTTTGCTTTTAATAACTGGTTTTGGTCTGTGGTATCAGCATCGGTTATGAACCTTCCCATAGGTGGGTAGTAACTAGTTATATTTAATCAGTTACATTTACTTGAGTCAACACTAACAACTGTTCATAGTCGCTACATTCTCATCAAGTAGGAATCAGTGACCCGATGAAATCTACTGGATTTCCACAGATAGGAAACTTTATAGCACATTTGAATAATGTGTTGTGTACTGGCAGTAGTCCAGCTGAATTGAATCAAAACTCTGCAGATACTAGAATTCCCACATAACCTTGTAATTTTGTTTGTCTGAATACACAATTTTCACAAATTAAACCAGATGTTTGGATTATAAAGTTACTCAGGGTTTGATTGGCCTCTTTGCTAAATATGAGACAAACTGGATCCGCCTTAAATGAGCCACACTGCTGGGAGGAGTTTGGAAGCATTAAAAGCATCTGCATTTGAAAAGCAGCACCAATTTGAACTCATTCACAGAAATTTATCAAGTTGTTTGGGAATTTAAAATGTCATCAGCGTATCTGCAAAGACTTTACACCTTGGCCATAAATCCAAAGTGTCCGTTTTTTTTTTTTTGTTTTTTTTTCCGATGGTTTAAAATGTTATCGTCATTTCCACACCAGTGAAAAGCTTTTCAGCTGTGACCAGTCTGAGTGGACTTTCAAGCTTCCAGGGGCCTTGAAATGTCATCAACGTATTCACAGCAGAGAAAAGCCTCACATCTGTGACCTTATGAGGGAAGTGTTGCAGGCAGTTTGCTGCTTTGAACTCTCACCAGCGAATACATCCTCTAGAAAAGTTTCAGTTTGTGAAATGTGTCAGAGTTTCAGTCATGAAGACTCTGAAATCCGCTTGTCCAAACACTGAACTATGAGCATCATGTGTTTTAATGGAGTGGATCCAGTTCTTATCCACATCAATCATTACAAAATACATTTGTGCAGCAATAAGGGATTTAAATGAGCCATCATTTGAATTTAGCCACTTCCAGTCATTCTGAGTAATTTTTAAAGGTATTTTAAGGATTACTTGTAGAAGATATTAAAAAAAACATTTTACCTGAAGATGGCTGATTGTTGCAAAAGTCAAGGATTTGACACTTGACTTAGACTCAGCCTCTATAGTCCAGACTGAACTCAAATTTGATGTCTGAGTCCAAAATAACCTAAATTCCAGTTGATCCTAATCAAACAATGCAGTCAGATTCAGTTCATTATTCCAAAAGTTTTAAATGTTTTCTTTTAAAGGAAACACACCAGATTCTGTTGAGTCATTTACTTGCAGCATGTTCTCCTTCTAGAGCAGCAAACAGCCACAGTAAGCAGCTGCTGTAAACTCCTGTTTAATAGGATGAGCGCTGCAGTAAACCAAAACCTGACCCACGTGTGACAAAGCACCCACACAGAAAACACAGAAGCTCTGATCCTGCAGCACTTTAAGAGAATATGAAAAAGTTAAAAGTATTTGTTGCTCCTTCATGGCATCATCTAGGAGAAACAGCTGATTAGATCAGAGAAAGTTTTCAAGTGTATATGGTTAAAGAAAACATATAATTAGATGCAACGGTTCAGCCAAAGTTCATGTCAAGAAGAGAGTCAGGGCTAAACACTGAAAGACAGGGTCAAGTGTGTCATTTAGAGAAGGAGAATGCTAAGTTGTTGGCTGAAGGAGTTTTGCCTCAGCTCCCTACAGGAAGGTGTAACAGCTTCACTGAAGGCCAGATCAGATGTAGCTTCTATGGACAGTAAAAAACAGAAAGACCGTTCCAGGTTGGTCCATTCAAAACATGACTTTCCGTGGTGCAGGGCTCCTCAGACTGGCAGATGGCGCTAAATGTGCTAAATGAACACAACATTTCAATAAATGATTCATGTAAAAATGGTCGCAGCTTAAAACTTTTATGTAAATCTGGGTTTGTATTATTCTGTGTTCATATCTGTCTGCACACGTGTTCAGGGTTTCCTGCCCAACACCGAAGGCCTCCCAGCACCGCTGAGCTTCACCCAATACATTAAACCTTCAGTGTAGTTGTCAAGCTGAAAAATAGGCTACGATTTCTCCCCTGACTGAACCTGCATAAATTAATCAGACCTCAAAGACACATTGCCCCCTTCACACCTACAGACACGCAGATAAATAAAAACAGCTCATCCTACGCATTTTAGAGCCACATCTCTCTGATGTATGATTCACATTCATGTTGGGACACATTACCTGAAGTCAACAACAGGTTTTTATTTAAAGGCTTCATAAGTTCTTCAGACCTGTTGGAGTGACCACAGCCTGTTTGTGAGGTCAGCAGGTTTTTTGTGCTTGTTTTGTGTAGTGAAGGTGGAATGTGTTTATTTTCCAGGATGAAGGTCATGAAGGTCATCTGGAGGATAAAGGAAGGCAAGTCCTGTCTGCTGATGGATGTGTGGCTCAGAAGGAGCTCATCAGGAGAAGCTGATATCCAGAAGCGTCCTGAATCTGAAACCAGAGCAGCGTGATTACGTTTCCATGCACATCACACCGCTGAAGGTGCTCTTGCATAATCAAATGGTTAAACAGTCACTAGATGCATTATTAATATAAGCCTTTGGTTCTTCTTCCTGTGAGCCAGTTTGTGAATATTGTAATAATTACTTTGGGGATTTGAGCGGATGACATTACCTTTATTGAAATGTTGAGATTATTTTCTGTTTTCCTAAAAAAAAACTTTGACTTCTTATTTTTATACTGTTTATCATTTAGAATGTGATTCTTCCTTCATTGTGATTTGTGACCTTTTGTTAACTGGCCTTTATTGTCTAAAGGATTATTGCACTGGTTTATTTTCATTTATAAATCAATAATTAATTTACTATCAGAGCCTCTAGCTTCCTATGTGTCACTTCAAAAGAATACTTAGAGACGTTTAATACGTTTATTTTCCATCATTATGTGTTGGAAAAGAGACATTTTCACTTAAAATAAACCATAACAGAACCAGCACCTGTACTGCCTAAAGGTTGTTCCTGCTTTTAATGTTTGATTTCCACTTTCTTCTACTTAACTTAATATTTTAGTTACTTTATGCATATGTTGTATTGATACATATTTTTTTCACATATTAAAATCTGGCAGATTTGTGAAAATAATGAATAAAACCATGAATTGAATAGAGCAATGATCCATCTTAAAAATACACTGTCTGGTCCTTAACCAAGTAGACAATGAATAATTACTGTATGATTATCTTCCAGGTGCCAAAAGGTTATTTAACTGCAGCTGATGCATTGAGCAGCTTCTCATTTATTAAACAACCAAATAGAAACACACATCCTGTGGTCATAGAAACGATGTTAGTCTCCTCAAACATGGTCAGACCATTAGCATCAAGCAGAGATCAGACTGCTGAAATTACTCAAATTGGATGAAGGACAGTTCAAACTGGAAGTAAAGTGGGGAACCATTGTTTTTAGGGAACAAACGTGGAACAAGTCCAGAATCATCATGATTGGTGATCACTAAAATGTTTGGTGAACTTAAATTGAAGAAAAACAAGTCAGGGCTTCTGTAAGAGTGAGAGGACAATGTGAAGGGAACCGAAGGGATTGGGACTGGACAGCTGGAGCCGTGAGCAAATCTCAAAGTGAGGTTTGCTAACTGGAGAAAATAAGACGGGCAGGGAGGACAGCACCTCGAAGGGACATACACACACCGGCAAGGAGCTCTGATTGGATCTGCTGCTATGGAAGAAGGTCATGTGATCTGATGAGTCCAGATTTATCTTCTTCCAGAATGATCCAATGAAATATGAGAGCGTAACCTTCATCTTTGGTGGCAAGCTTTGATTTGTCCAGCCGGTGTATTTTACATGAGGTTAAGATGTGGAGTGTCTTCTGGAGTATTTCATGCCTCAGTTTTCTCATAAGAAAGTCAACATGTCGTCCTGCTGACCTGCATGTCGTCCTCATTACCATCACTCTGAACGTGGATCTCTTCTTTCACCAAACATAAAACCCTAACTCATCATTTTACGGTCAGCAGCAGAGTGGTTGTGTGTGTGCTGTGTCCCCACATCTTAATTCAGACACACACACACACACACACACACACACACACGCACACTGCTGGCTGCTGCTGTCCTCGATTTTGTTTGGTATTACTCCTATCTCAGTAATGATGCTGAAACTGCAGCAGGTTGCATGAGTTGGCAAATGTGGCCTCACCTGTTTACTGCCAGTTTGCAGTTTGTTCAATAAATCTAAAGTAATCCCTGGCTGAGTGCTTGGAACCTGCAGCTGTGGTTTCCCTTTTGTCCAGAATGTTTCAATGCATAAATATCTGAGATGCAACTTGGATTTCAGATTTAGGATTGAGCCTCATTGGATTTAACTTTAACTTATTTTCCAACTTTGAAAATGAATTGTTGTATTAATTAACAGTAAAAGCAGCCCAGCCTGTAAACTGGAGTATTTTACATTCTGTCACTAGGAAGTGGCAGTATGAGGCAAACGGGGTGGATGATGGGAATAAAGATTAACAGCTGCGTGTGCTTGTAAATAATTAACAAAAAATAAAAAGCACTTTGATTCATTCAGAATTTCAACATTAATATTTTAATCTCTTAAAATCTCTTTATCTTTGTATAAAGAAATAAATACATACATTTTCCAAGCAATTTTTAAAATCAACATATTTTTAAAAATTTAAATTTAAATCTTAAAGTTATAGGCCTACGGCAAACAGTAAAGGAATAAAATCTCTAGCCTAAAGCAATACAGTGCCATTGGCATTTTAGAAGAAAATATTTTTTTTCAGTTATTACAAACTTGAAACTTACATGAACTTGGGACAAAATACTTCAGACTTTAATTAAATTGGTCTCTCAAATCTTGAGGCAGAAACAAATTTGAGATTTGACTTTAATTTGCCTCTCAAAGACCTGACTCCTGAGTTGGACTTGGAAAATAAAACTTCTGAAATCTGTGATATACATGGACATAAGAGGTACTTTGAGGTAAGTGGCAGAAACATGTTTAGACATTATGAGAAATGAATCCTTTGCTACATCAGTACATCGGGTTTGAATGTCTCTGGTAGTTTTGTTCAAGATGAAAAAGTAATAAAGTCTCTATTTCTGTCTCTTATTTAAGCGTGGAGTAGAAATGGATGAGGCTGGCTGACGGGTCAGGTTAAATACGCCGTACTGTCAGTCTGTTGTGCTCTCACTGCTATGCGCTCTTAAAAACTGCAGTATTTTGGAAACCTGCCAGCTGTCACAGATGGAAATAAAACCTACTGTTAAGAAACATTCATATCAAAACTCCAAATCCTAAATTTCACATGATTTTATTTTTCCATCTGTCGTTTTGAGACATTTCTTTGCTGCATTGTTTGTGTCATAAAATAAGATAATCAGTGACAGAATAATTATCAGCACTCCGCAGAAACTCATCAAAATATTTGAAATAAAGTCCCACATGCTGTTTTGAAGGCAGTTCATGAGATTTTCCTTTTAACTTTTTTCCATGATTTATTTTTCTTTATCTTGTTGCTGAGTTTTACCTTGGAGTTGCTTTATTTTAGGATTCTGACTGACAAAACAAATTGCACCTACATCAAACGTTTGCAAAGTTCTTCTGATGTGGCAGATTGTTGGTTTTCTCTTTCTGCTGGATGTAACAGTTAGAGACGTGTGTGTGTCCTGCTGCTGGTCCTGTGTTTCCGATCAGCTCCAGCATTCATCTCTCCTTCCACCTCACTGGATTTATGGAGAAGCTGACATTTTCCAGCAGGACTTGGCAGCTGCTTGCTTTAACAACCATAGCGTGACTTCACTTGATTTAACAGAAAAATTACCTAAAAATGTTTGAAGCTCTGAATGTAATGAATCCATTATATAAGTTTCACTTTTTAGACTGGTTACCTTTTTTTAAATGAACTTTTACAAAAAATATTCTAATCCACAGAGATGCAACTTTAGGTGTAATTGTTAGTTTTACAAAGCATCCATGTTTTGTGTTATTCCAATATACTTTTCCTTTAACATAGTATTAATTATACATATTTATGCAATTTTTCCCCCTTTATTTTGTATTTATATAAGTGTTATGAGATCTCAAATTAAGCCTTGTTTTAAACTTTTCCTCTGAATAGAAATTCTGTCAAGAGTGAAAAAAACTGAACTTATTTAATCACAGTGAACAATTTCTCTGTACTTTCTCTACTAAAAATAAGTTTCAAAATGAATTTCTGACACTCAGTATGTCAGAGAAACTATTTGTAATGAACAAAAATGATGTATATGGTACATAAAGAAACACATTCTTCATATTGAAGTGGTTTCGGTGTCACCTTCAGCGTTTCGCCCAGCTGTATTTGGGATGGGTGGAGCAGCAGATCAAACTGTGACGTTCTCACACCAACCGTGACAAGTGGGATAACAAGGAACTCAGCAGGGCTGATTCTGACGCTTCTCCTCTGTGGTCACACTTACAACTAGACGCTCCTAAGATATGTAAGAGTGTAACTCTCATCTTTCATGCGCTGTGGGTTTTTTTCCATCTCTTGTTCTCGGGCGTCACCAACAGGACTGAAACGGTCTGAGATGAAGAACTCAGTGTTCACTTCAGTTAAGTTATTTTTAGATTTTGCTTCAATCAAGGGAATTATTTACATCAACAGCATTTCCAGTCCAGAAACCCAACAAATTAAACCTCAAGGCATTAAGCAAATCTGTGCAGGTTAAAGGGGGCTGGTGTCTGCTTCAGCTGGGAAAGAGGCAGAAGGATCTCAATACAACAAAGATCCAGTACGAACTGAATCCAGTAGAGTGAAACGTAGTTATTGGTTAATTCCAAATTGGGAAAAATTATTTAGTAAAATAGCAGCAATGACTATTTGATCCAGAGACAAAGCTGAACAAAAGAAACACTTTCCAAGGAGACAGAAAAACTAAACATTAATTACCACAAGAGCTCTATCAACAGCTAAATCCAGGAAAAGACACACAACTAAACAGAGAAGAAGCAACTCTAAAGTACTGGAACTAAGTTTCACTGGAGAGGATTCCTGCGCTGCTCAGAGGCCGATGGGGGTTTGCAAAAATGGCTTCAGATCATAGATTCTCTTTGTGGTGGCCACCAGCTGACGGTTAGCGCTGCTGGTGGGACTAAACAATAACTATTCATTACTAAGGTCTTTTCTGACATAGCATAATATTTCTCAAATTAAAAAAAGATATCATAGTGTGCTGAAGCTCAACTTTCAGCTGGTTTACGAACCAGCGACACAAGACTGAGCAAGTTAATTTATGTATCACCAAACAAGGAAATCCTAAGTGCTCTAAAGAACGAGTCAGAATGGTAAATACGTTTAACTTCCTTCCTTGTGTTCAGATTTTGATCCGAGTTTAAACTTATCTTAGGTGTTGCTCTCTTCAGTATCTTAGGGCCAGGTGCACTTTCTATAAAAAGTACAAAATAATTGTACATGCAGGCTGGATAAATCTCAGCACAGTCAGCATCTAGACTACTTTCCTGTTGATTATTTCCAGCCTCATTAGACTTTATGGAGGCAATTAGCAATCACAGAAAAAGGTGTGATGTGTCAGCTCTTGCGTGTTAAAGGGAATTGTTTTTCCTATCTTTCCTCAAATACGTTCAAGAGTCACAAAAGCAATCTAGCATTTCTTTGTGTTGTTTCATTATCTTTTAAATAATATGCTATATGTAGAGGAGCCAAGATGAAGGTCCTTCACCAAAAACAGAATCAGTGCTGGGTAATCTGGACACAACAGAGCTCAGTGTCCTCTGTGAATTCACCAGAACCACAGAAGAAGAGGAGCTGAAGAAGAACCCGGAGGTTTCCTCACTGCATCTCTCAGAAGAGCAGCGGTGGAAGAGTTTCCTCAACTGAAACATTTACCTACAAATCAAGTCATTACTGATTTACAACATAATTTAGGTGTTTAATAAATTACACAAAGTTCATAAGTGTTTTTGTGC